TTGTATTCAAAAAAAGGAACAAGGCATAAGGATTTGAATTGAAAAGATGATGATTAAAAAAATTATCAGAAAAGAGCTTGCAGCGATTAATGATGGCAAAAGCCAAGGGATTTAACCCCGTAGTGCTTGATTTTGAAATGGTGGCAAGAATTAAATCACCCTCCATTGATTTGAAATGTTTATGGTAAGATAAGATGGCTTGAATCTCTTTTGGCTGGCACTAGAAACCATGAAGCTTGTAATGATATGGAGTTCTTCATCCTTTCTCTTTAGGTAAACTATCTAACAATTCCTTACACTCACTACTTACATCAATAACTTCTTCAGTTGATCTTACCTTCTTAGTATCAAAGCTTTGCATTTTATTTTTTTTTATTTTCTGTCTAAAAATATAATATGATAAAAATTTGCCTACCAGCAATCTTGCATAAATACACTTTGTATGTTCCAACACTCTTTTCTTATGAGATTCTATTATTAAAGTTAATAGACTTTATACTTAAAATTAAACAGATTTCACACTTAAAATTAACATATTTATTATTAAAATCAACAGATTTCATACTTTGAACAACCTTCATAACTGTTTCCTATCTTTATAAATCTTTTAATCTTTCCTTAATTAAAATATATCAACTATGGGTGAGAATTTGTATATGACATTTTAGCTAATTTTGGAGTTAAAAAGGGAATTGTATTTTTCATCTATAATGGAACTCTTTATTAAAAGAAAATATTTTTTTCCACTCAAAGTTCTCTAACAAAATAAGCAATGAACATATGTGAGAAATTTAAATACAACTAAAAACCATGGATAAACAATTTCATAAATGTAAGAAAAACACACTTCACTGCTATGAAAATAGTCCTCCAAAATAGATTTAAGATGTTCACTTTTTGTGTGTTATTAAATTGAAATATTAGTTAAAGAAGTCAGACATGCATTTGATCATTAGGTATTGTTCAATTTGCCTAAGGCTCTATTTTTGTTTAATGAGGTAGCAAACCATGTCAAGAAAAATGGTAGTAAGGAGGAAGCTTTTAGTATTATGTAAATTTTTAGAACAACTCCACTTAGTAAATTATTGATAAAACACATTTACAAATAGTATATTCCATCTTGAGATGAAAGTCAATGTAAATATTATATAAAATGGTTATCGTAATTACCATAGAATATACATATCCTATTTAACATAACTAAAAGTTACTATTGGATTTAAATATTAAAGATGTATTTGGAATAAATGAATTACTTTACAGATTTTATTTTGTTTCAAACTCCAATTTTGTCTAAGCAAAATAATAATAATATAATTAAATATTAATGACAATGAAATTAATAGTAATGATACCAATATACTCACATGATAATTGAAAATTTCAATATATTAAATTTACACTTATTATTATTATAGTATTTTATCATTATTTTTATTTCTTTGATTATAAGTATTGTATTTGAGATAAAAATGAAAAAAAAAATAAATGAATTAAAGGAAAAGAAAAAAAGAAGGAGAGCCCAACAACTCGAAGCCTAACAAGGCCAGCCCGAACGGGAGGAAAAAAAAAGAAAAGAAAAAAGAAAGGAAGAAAAATACGAATCCCATATGAGCTTTAAATCCGGGTCTACAAGCAAAACGACACTTTTTAAAAGTCTATGAGATTTTTCGTTAAAAGGGAGAGAATGTCTAATTATAAGAAGACAAATAGTGAAAGGCCAAAAAAAAGAGAACATTTTTTTTAAAAAAATGAATAAATAAAATAAAATAACAAAAAAACAAAAAGGGAAAAAGATGAAGTAATTTTTGCTAATTGTATTAATTTAAATACATTATAAAATAAGTTTTTTTTATATATTTTAATTTTGTACTATTTTAACATAAAATATTTGAAAATTGATCCATACAATAGAATTTTAATATATAATTTCACTTTTAATATAATCGATTGTGACTTCTGTTCTTAAATAAAATTTTTACAAAATTTTTACTTTAGTGATAATTTAAAATATTTAATCATTACGAATATAGAAAAACATATTCAAATGCATCAAAAAATCGTTTATAAATGTATTTTTATCCAAACATTTACTAAACTTCATTCTTTACTACTTAATCCCCTTTATCTTCCTCTTAGAAATAAAATCTAACACTAACTGGAATATATAACTCTAACAAATAACCCACTTAAGAGACAGACTAGACCATAATCATTCCAATACGTCACACCCTAGAGATCAAGAAAGAGAAGCTGGACTGTCCCCTCCTGCCAGTGCGTCTGGAATAGACAGAACAAAGCAGCCCCCCCCCCCCCCCGGGTTT